AGCAATGAAACCGCTAAAGTTGGTGTGTTTCATAATTTTGGCTTTACATATTTCCAAACCTCAACAAAGTTGATTTATTAAGCTTTTATAGGTTATTACTTATAGCATTGATTAGTAAAGTGGTACTAATAACTTACTGAAAGGCAAAAACTTAAGAGAAGGGTATTTATTAACCATAATAACGCCTTACATTAAAGCCTTGGGCGGTGGTTGGGAAAAGGTTAGTGGTGAGTTTGTTCGTGCGGTTCATTAACATTGGTGAGGTGCCCTTGAGCAAGGCCTTAAACCTCAACCCCAACTGGTCCAGCTTTGAGCTGTCCAGGTGTATCAAAAGAGAGGTGCAACCTCAGGAGAAACTTCCCTTGAATAAATAAAGGTTAAAAAGACAAAGCAGAACAAAAAAACTTATCTTATAATGAGGCTTTGGGGAGTAACAGATTACATATAACTGAGTTACGTTAGATCAGATACAAAAAATAACTGTAATCCATACATAAGAAAAAATATGTAATCAATTACAGTTACATTTAGTAAAATGGGGATTATTTGAGCAAGGATTAGCAATTTTTTTTTCCTTCAGGAGAATCAATCAAGTTACGTTACTGTAATACTGTCGATCCTGCTGATGAAAGCTTTATGAAACTCTAGTTAATAGTCTATTTTTCATCCCAAATAGTAAATATGTACCTTTTCAAACCCAGTCAGTTAATAACCCCCCCCCTAAAAATCACAACTATATGGTCCACATCAACAGCAGTTTTGGTGATGGGTCCGACAGCAAGTGAAGTGCAGCACCGGGTGTTTGAGAGCGGGGACTGCGCGCCCCTCCCTCCTTCTCTCTCTCCCGTCCCTCTCTCTCTCCCTCCTCCTTCATCTCCCTCCCCTCCCTCCCTCTCCTGCGCGTGTGCCCGCCGCTGGAGGGTGCGCGGCACAGGAAGGGTGGCGGGGGGTTTTGTGCTCGCTCCTGCCCTTTCTCTTGCTCTCTGACCCCTAAGTGGGCGAGCTCCGATCACTTGCACTCCGGCTCCCCTCCGTCAGACCGAGTCTACTCTCTCTCTCTTGTTGTCAGGTATCTCTTCGCCCTCCTCCTGCTTCGGCTGCTCTCTCGCTCTCCACCTCTTCTCTCTCTCCCCCTGCTTTTCAGCTCTCTTGTCTGGTTTCTTTTGCCACAGGAGCCAGGCCGAGGTCCGCGCCGGGTCGAAAGGTTCTGCCCTACCGGGCCCAGACTGCCGCAACCCCCGGACAGCGAGCGGTTCGAACCCTCCCCTGTTGCTTGCCGCAATGGGACCCGCGTCCCTCCTCCACCACCACCACCACCACCGCCGCTGCTGCTTGCTTGCCGCCGCACCACCGCCGCCGCCGGGCGTAGAGGGCGACCCCGACCCGGCACTCTTTTCTCCGGCCAGATCCAAAAAAAAAAAAAACCTAAAAAAAAAAAAGCCAAAAAAAAAAAAAAAAAAACCCCACATCACGGACGAAGGGTAGAGCAACCTTTCCGCTTGTGCTTTTGGAGAACCGGGAAGAAAGGGGAAGGGAGGGAGGCGAGTAGACGGATTTGAGAGAGAAAAGGGAAGAGAGAGAGAGAGAGAGACGGAGGGAGAGAGAGAAAAGAACAGAGGAAGGAAAAAAAATATGAAATTCTTGACACAAAGCCGTCGGTTGAAAGGTGGGCTTGTCATTTCACGGGGACGAGCAGGGAGGTTTAGCGCGGCGGCGGGTGCTGTGACACCGACCACCTTTAGGGGCTGCTTTGTTTTTATATTCGATTCTATTTATTAATATTGATTATTTATATTCTTATTGTCCAGGAGCATTTTTGAGTTCAGGATCGCAAACGGACCTATTTGGCTTTTTTTTTTTAGATCTTGGTTTGTGCACATTGTCTGCAGGCGGCGCGATAAGAACTAACCAAGACACACACATGCACATGCAACAACGTGTGTATGGGTAGGAACTAGTGTATGGACTGGTGTAGATGATGTGTGTCAGTAAGAGAGATCTTGTTATTCGCCCTTTTACGGGATCTTCGGGTGCTGCTGGGTGGCGGGGTCTTTTCCTCCGGGCCTCACGGTTGTGTGTGTTGTTGAGAGAGGATATGAGGAAGAGAGGGTAAAGCCGGGACAGTATAGATGTGTGGACGCACTTTAACTGCAAATCTATCCAACAACAACATCGTATCAAAATCATACTTACCCAATAACACAAGGGAGGGCGCGCAGTCCCGCTCTCAAACACCGTGCTGCATTCACTTGCTGTCGGACATCACCAAACTGCTGTTGATGTGGACATATAGTTGTGATTTTTAGGGGGGGGGGTTATTAACTGATGGGTTGAAAAGGTATATTTATATTTGTGATAAAAATAGACTATTAATAGAGTTTCATAAAGCGTTTATAAGCAGGATCACAGTATTACAGTAACGTAACTTGATTGATTCTCTGAAGGAAAAAATTTGTAATCCTGCTAAATAATCCCCATTTTTACTAAATGTAACTGTAATCTGATTACATATTTCTTTCTATAACTGTAATGGATTACAGTTACCTTTTTTTGTATCCTGATTACGTAACTCAGTTATATGTAATCTGTTACTCCCCAAAGCCTGATTATAAGATAAGTTTTTTTGTTTGCTTTTGTTTTTTTAACCTTTATTTATTCAGGGAAGTTTCTCTGAGGTTGCAGCCTCTCTTTTGATCACACCTGGAAGCTCAGCTGGACCAGTTGGGGTTGAGGTTAAGGGCCTTGCTCAAGGGCACCTCACCAATGTTAATGAAGCACAACAAACTCACCACTAACCTTTTCCCAACCACCGCCCCAAGGCTTTAATGTAATGGCGTTATTAGTGGTTAATAAATACCTTTTTAGTTTTGCTTTCAGTAAGTTATTAGTACCACTTACTAATAATGCTATAAGTAATAACTTATAAAAGCTTAATAAATCAATTTGTTGAGGTTTGGAAATATGTAAAGCCAAAATTATGACACACCACTTAGCTGTTGCATAATGTCATTTTTAATAAATATCACCACGTTCCACATTAACCAATAACTGATAATGAAACTGAGTTGTTTCTTTCTTGCTAACTAAAGAGTTTGTGCGTTATAAGTCATTTATTAAACATTTACAGATTAGTAATAAGATACTAACGTGTGGGTTCCCTGGTAACTAAATCTTTAGTTGATAAGGAAAACTTCTTCAAAGGACCATTTTCTTCTTGCTGTACCTTCTCTAAAAGTGAACATTTACAACTGCAGACTTGAAAGATTACGTTAAATATGAGTCATTAAGTTTTATAATTGCAGATGTCGTACAAACATTTGCTGGAGGAGGATGAACTGAAGCCTATAGGGAATGTGTCACAACATGGCAACATAAAGATTAGATTTTAATTGCTTGTTCCTGATCTATAACCCTTTAAGAAACGTGCCTTATTAGAAAGCGATACTAAACTCAACTCACCCAATTTGCACTTTCTCTTTGTTCAGAAAGTAAGTGAAAACATGAGGTTTGAGTTCTCAAATTAGAAAACAACCTCCAAGGAAGCCCCTCAGCATCCTGAAACACTGAAAGCAGAAACATCCACCCCGAGCTCCTAAATTGACTGTTTTCCCTCTGCGTCTTCCATCTTTGTGCGTCTTCTGTCGGCCCTGAGGAAAGGTTTTTACTGTGGTAGGTTTACCTCAGGCTGCAAGGTTCATGACATGGCATAATAAGAAGGTTATTGATTTTATTCCATGAAATCTTATGCAGTATTCAACATTTTGGCTGCCGCACCTTGAACTCAGCACACACCGCCTCATTTGTGAATCAGCACGCGTCCTGAAACTAATTGATTGTCTTGGTCTTGATGGACACTAACAGTGAAATCCTGATACAATAGATGCATTTTTTAAATCATTATTGAAGTGAGTGGGGCATCTAAACGCAGACACGTTTTTGAGCTGAATGTTTATTTAAGCGTCAGCTAACATACAAGTTCCCATACTGAAACGCTGTACATTAATTCAGTGCTAATGCTGACCTGGAATATTTCTTCATAAGATCACAGATGTGTGGGGGAGACGGCGCCAGAGTCTAGAAGGTGTTGTAAAATCTATGATTAGAAGACAGCACGGCCCCCTTTGGGTTCACGAGTAAACAATACTAATGAGTACCTGTGGGAGTCCTTCGCACTACCTGAAATGGGGCAACACAGTTTCAAAACTGGGAAAAATCCTGCAACTTGGATTACTGGGTGTAAAAACAGCATCCTGATCACCCGGGTTTAACTCGTGGATTATCAGTTTGCTGAATTATATATGAAGTCTGGGAGAAAGTTGGTCTTGAACTGAACTGTATTTGCTCAAATGAACAAACTCATCCTGTAATTGTTGCTCTTGGAGTCTTTTATCACATTGTGCAGCTGTCAAATCAGAATTAGTTATCCTCTACACAATGATTTGTGTCATAAAATATTCAAAGCTCAAAGGTTTACTAGTTTTAATACCTTTCAACTGCCTTTTGATCTATAGACTCCATGATTTCTAGTGGTGGAAACGTTAAAATATCTCAATAACTGGATGAAATTCATGGTCTTCTCTTTACTTTTCCTCTAAAGCCATCAAGACGGCGAATTTTTTTTGACATAATCCAGATGACCTGCCTGTGAGATATTATTTAAGATATTTATGTTTCATGGCCCATTCAGACAGACCCCCCCCCCAGTCCTGAATTAGTTTGGGTCAGTCACAACTGTTTATGTAATATAGAGTTGTTGCGTTAAACAGAGGAACCTGCGAGCAGAACCCAAACTCTGGTTGAGTATGATTAATTTATTGTAAAACTAGTTGGTGGCTGATGGCGTAGGAAAAGGGGCAGACAGGCTGGCTGAAGTTGAGGTGATGATCCTGAAGCGCAGGAAAAACAAGGTTAAATACTCCAACAACAGTGGGGGGGCAAACGTCTCATAAACGTCACGAGACA